AGCAGTTATGGTCGCGGTCACTTCTGGAGTTCAGGCAACTGGAGCTTCAACAATTGTTCTCTTTCTTTTATTCAAGGGAGCTGCAAATATTCACATTCTAAAACATAATGATCATGATTAATTGTGGAAAGTGCTTGTTTACCTGAAGTTAAGTACATGCATAAGCACTGCTTAGTCAAGCCTCATTTATTTAGTAAGGATCTTCCATAAAATTGCAGTTTCTCTTTGTCCCTTTAGAAATTAGATTTTAAATTCATAAAATCAATAGTATATAACAGAGTATTAGTATAACTCATAGTATGAAGAGGCCATTAGATTTCCTGACTGGTGCTCTTCTGTTCAAAATACTGTCTATTATTAATCCGTTTTGTTAGTTTATAGTTCCTGGAAGTGCGAGCATTTTAGTGCTCTAGTTGGTTGGGCTTTTCACAGACTTATGTCCAGTTTTTAGAGCACACCCTTAGCATTGTGTATAAGAAAACCTAAAGAAAAAACACTGCCTTGAGCAGTCAGATCAGGTTAGTGAGATCAGGTTCACTACTTAGTTTGCCTACCTTCATGTGCATTGTATGTCTCCATATACTTCACACAATCTGAAAAAACTACTAAGGCATCACAGCTGCCTTCTGGAAGCACAAGATTGTTCATTTGGAAAGTGAGAAGTTTCTGTGATCAGCTTTGAATTTGTGATGATAAATTAATTGAGCTGTTTTTTGGGACCATCCTCTGCTCCCTATATGTTTCCAGTGGAAACTTGTTTTCATTTATGTTAATTTTTAAAAGTGCATATATGTGTATTCTAATACATGTATTACTAATGTACGCATATTCATTTCAACACATCCGGCCCTATGAATTGCCTTTTTCCTGTTACATTCCTCTCTGTCAGCCATCTCAAAATGTCTGTGTGGTTTTGTGTTAATATAGTTTTCCTTCAATCAGTTCAAATATTCAACGTATCATATGTATGTCAGCCTCTGCAGAGGATGAAAACCTGGGAGGTTTTTTGGTTTTTTGTTGGTTTGCTTTGTTTAATGAAGTACAGTAGTTCAAATGTTTTAGAAGTCTAGTTTGTGCTTGAATACCTACCACTACTTAAGTATTTAGGAGATGGAGACAGACAACTGGTGAACTGATAGACCTAGAGTTAGGATCAGCCAGGGGTTTAGGAGCATAGATGTGCCAAAGTCCTGCTGTAAAAGAGGCTAAAAAGACATTGTTTCTTTGTTGCTACACATTAGTATAACTTTGGGCAGTAGTGGAGGAGAAAGAAGGAGGGATAAAAATAATGTTTTGGACAAAAAACGTACAATCTCTCCACTGGGCTCTGGGAAGCAAACCAATGACATTCAGCTGGGCTATAAACTAGCAAGTACACAGATTTTTCTGAAAGTCTGTACCTTAAAAACCACTACTGTCAGCTTGCAAAGACACCAGTTCCACAAGGTTCCCTTAGCTTGGACTTGTAACTAGCATATTTACCATTTTAAGTATATACTTATTTCCTAGTTTTATTCTGGTATTGTCAAATGCATGAGGAACATGATGGCATTATTCTTTTTTGTATGCTGTACACATTGGAAGAATCAGTTCAGTATGGCCAAAACACCCAAAACGAAAAAAAAGGACAGAGGAATGCACAGATAAGGACCATATGAAATAAGACAGGAATTATTTCAGTTACATAACACCCTACAGTAAGGGTAAAACTGTGTTAGTACAGAAAATCAGTATTAAAAAAAAAAAAAAAGGTATTATCTCCCACAGTAAAAGTAGTTTAGAAACTAAAATGTAATTTTAGTATGAAAATATTAGTTGAAAGTCTTGAAAGCACTGGTATAATTCTACAGACCTATGCTTCTATTCTAGAAGGTTATAATTGATCTTTGTGTGTTTTAGGACTTTGAAATTCTGCCAATCATATATATAATTTATGGTTTTGATTACTTGCACATCCTACTTCACTTTGCATGTCTCTGCTCTACTCTACATTCTTTACTTTGTATCTGTGAAAGCCCATAAAAGTCACTGGGGATTATGAAAGTACAAGGGTGAGAGAGAATTTGACCTCCTATTTCCTGAGCACCTCTAAGGAATCTCCTGTGTAAAGCAGCTGGAAAGAATTGTGAACAAACCGATGTTATGGGTAGGGCAACAGACGCAACCTGCAACAGAAATTTCCAACACTGGAAAAACAAATCCTTTCTCTTTACTGAAACACAGCATTTCTTTCTGGAAGAAGAAACAGACACCCTCTTCTGCAGAAGCCAAGATCTCCAAAGAGGTTTTGTGGCCTGCTAACCACTGAGATGTGAACTGCCAACAGAAACACTGTGCACTTATACCAATAACAAACAATGAGTTGCTGGAGGCAACAGCTATTACCATCACTTGAATAAAAGAAACTCTGGCAACTAACCATATTTCAGAATAGATTCTGAAATAAGAAAATGCCTTCTTTTCAGCACCTACTCAAATATCTTATTTTAGATTGTGCCAAAACTGAAGGGTAGCTGATATCCGCATTGATTCTGAATGACAATTTTATGGGAAAATCTAGGAAGACCTCTCCCCCAAGATAATTCATATGGAGGACATACTCCAAATTAGCTTAATTGGCTGCCAGATGTCACTCATACTGCACTGCCTAAAAGCTCCTGGTACATGTTATCAGGCCTTAGTGGTCTTCAGTGTATTACAGCCCGGGAAGTGACCATGGCAACATCCAACTCAGTATGCAAGTTGTGTTCATTGTTAGAAAGGGTTAAGCACATCTTTGTCATTGCTACTAGCAGAACCACTGCTGTTGTCTTAAAGAGAACTACAGTGTCATTAGTGCCTACTATGATACTCAGGACATATCCTGTCCTGCTATAAAATCAGAGAATATCATCAGCAGATGGAGCGCAGAAAGAGAGCAGTGTGGCTTTTTGGTCCATTACCATTATCTTCTAGGGAGGAAAAACATGTTTCTTACCTGCTGGCTGTTTCAATTTGTTATGGGTGTTACTGAGAGGGAGGGAACAAATGCTCAAAACAACTTTACAAAATAAATAGAGAAGTAAGAATTGTTCTGTGACTGTAGGATGGCACAACCTTGAATTATTACTTCTATAATGTGCTAACTAACATGATGCATATTAATCTTGCTGGACAGTTTCCGTTGACTGAAAAGCTGGACATGAGCCAGCAGGGTGCGCTGGCAGCCCAGAAAGCCAACCGTATCCTGGGCTGTATCCAGAGAAGTGTGGCCAGCAGGTCGAGGGAGGGGATTCTGCCCCTCTACTCTGCTCTGGGTAGACCCCACCTGGAGTGCTGCGTCCAGCTGTGGAGCCCTCAACATCAGAAGGATATTGACCACTTGGAGCGAGTCCAGAGGAGGCCATGAAGATGATCAGAGGGCTGGAGCATCTCTGCTATGGGGACAGGCTGAGAGAGTTGGGCTTGTTCAGCCTGGAGAAGAGAAGGCTCCGGGGAGACCTTATAGCACCTTCCAGTACCTGAAGGGGCCTACAAGGAAGCTGCGGGGGGACTTTTACAAGTGCCTGTAGTGACAGGACAAGGGGTAATGGGTTTAAATTGAAAGTGGGGAGGTTTAGATTGGATATCAGGAAGAAGTTCTTCACAGAGAGGGTGGTGAAGCACTGGAACAGGTTGCCCAGAGAAGCTGTGGATGCCCCATCCCTGGAAGTGTTCAAGGCCAAGCTGGATGAGGCTTTGAGCAACCTGGTCTAGTGGAAGGTGTCCCTGCCCATGGCAGGGGGGTTGGAACTGGATGATCTTTAAGGTCCCTTCCAACCCAAACCATTCTGTGATTCTGTGATCTCAGATTGTCAAGAGTGTTTTCTTCTGCTTCTTCCACAAATTCAGCTTCATGCTGCTGACATGTTTCATAACTTTCCTTCATTGTCTGCTTCCATCCTGCTTGGAGCCTGAGGGTGTCTTTCTCCATAATCAGTCTCTCATCTCTGCCTGACTTTGCTCTTTTGAAGGGAGGGTTCTCTGAGCCTTCCTTGTCCTGAATGTTTAATATACTCCCCCAGCAATCAGTTTCATTAATGTCATGCAGGAAAAGAAGCTGTTCTTCAGGATTAGAAAAAGTGGCAGTATCTGTCTCTCATATTTTCATTTTGGATGTTGGATTATGTCCAAGCGGTGTAGTGTTTTGTGTAAAGTTAATGGGAAGACTATTTTCTTATAACCTCATTCTGAATATAGGACATTTTTGTGTGAACATTTCTGCATATCTCTGAAGTACCTTCTAGTACAGAACAAGAGTGGAAGACCTAAAATTTTAACTAAAGTTCTGTGTATGACTGACAGAATTAGGGGTTGTATTCAGTACAGCTCAAACAGTAGAAATCTGATTTTAATGTGATGAACACTGAAATTCAGATACTAACAATCCTGTTGATGCAGGATTTATATAGCCAGTGCAGAGGAGGGTTGGGTCAGTGATGGGTGTTCACCCAGAGGTTGAAGATCTTTCTGCTCTCCCATTGCATCTGTCAAGGGCTTAGCACTCCCTACCTCCACAACAAGAAAAAGTTAGTCAGGAACATGGCAGCTGGATCTTCTGGAAGAAATTCCTGCTCAGCACTTCACTGCTACATTTCTTTGACAGACTTTTTTACTATCAATTTTTTTTTTTTTAAGACAGAAAAAACACCAAACTAATTAAATCCTTCAGTCTTGAAAAATTTTGGCCAAGGTCCAGCACAAAAAAAACTTCCAATTCAGGACATAAAACTGTTCCTGTCACATTGCAGGAGTCCTGAAATCTTGAAGTACAAGAGCTTTTGACAAGAACCAGAAATGCAGAGGAACTAAATATTCTTCTTAGCCTCATCCTGCAGCTACAAGAAGCATGATGGTGATCAGAGACCCGGGATTCCCTTTCATTTACTGTTTCTTCATTCTACCTGTCATTATAAAAAAAAGAAGAAAATTAAGGTGACCTTATTCTGTGCTTAAGGTTTTCTCTTCTGACCCCTTCACAGGTGGGAGATTGGAAAATGGAGCACCTGCAGTCTGACCTGTGGGGTTGGATTGCAGACACGAGATGTCTTCTGTTCTCATCTACTATCAAGAGAAACTAACGAGACTGTAATATTGGCAGATGAATTGTGCTATAAACCTAAGCCATCCCTTGTGCAAGCCTGTAATCGCTTTGACTGCCCACCCTCCTGGTATCCTACAGAATGGCAAGAGGTAAGAATGTTTGTGTAATCTCATTTTATGACTGCTAAAAGTAGTCAATACATCAATTATCAACACATCATTTTGTTTTAGACCATCAAAAGTAATCATTTATCATTCCAAAGAGCCATTAAACCATTGGAAAAGATGTGCCTTTTTGCTGTTTAAAAAATTGCCTTGTTTTCAGAGGTAAATAATGACTATAGGTGCTTCTAATGCAAAGTTACTGGAAACTCTGAACTGCTGGCTATGGATTCCAGACAAAAATATCTGGAATATGATGGTCAGCTGCAGTGAGTGGATATGGGTTACCAGTGCCAAGGTTTCTAGGAATACAAAGCTGTAACGATCAAGGAGGATAGACTCTCTAAAGCGTTTTGGGTATTCCTTATATTGTCAAATAATAATTTAGTTTAGGACAACAAACACTCCTCATCCTTCAGAGTCACAAATGAGTGTTAGGCACTTCCCTTTGGGAGACAGATGCCGTATTGCACTAAGGCTGAAAATTACCGTCTACGCAATGGATCTGTACAAGTCTTACTGTCTTTGGAAAGCAACCTGAAATGACTTTATGTGCTGCCATCTGGTTGCAAATGAAAACACTTGTGCAATTCAAAAGACTTAAAGATGCTTCTGTTGGATATAATACTGCACAGGAAGAAAGTATCCTGCCCTGTTGTCAAGCGTAAAGGAAGAATTTGCTGTGTGGTGGAGGTGCAAGCAAAAGGCCTGTTTAAATCTTCATTTCTGCTGGGTGCAACAATTCATTCAACCCTATAGGAAAACTATGAGCCCTTGGCATGGTGCTTACATATGCCTACCAAGTCTTCATCGATAAGTCTGCTTTTTACTTACAGCCAGGGAGATGTTAATGTATTCATCTGATGAAAGTATACTTCATGGCAGAGCTCTGGATCTGAGCAGGCATCCCAGCAACAAAAATTTATGCCAGCCTGATGTTCTGACAAAGCTATATAACTAGCCTTTGTCTTATGTTTAAAACAAATCAGTGATATTTTGTGCTTTAAGTTGTCTGTTTATACTCACATACATGTATTTGCTGAGTTGTACTTGAATATTTCTAGGCTATATTCATACATAAATGCTATATTTGTAAATAGCAAATAGTATTCCACTAGCACATAACATAATAAAGTCAAACATTTCAAAGTTAGGATATTTTAGAAGGAGTGCCTATGCTCATTAAAATCCTATAATAGCCACAGTCCTTACAGAAAGCACTTTTCTGTAAGTTTATTTGAACAGTCAGAAAAAACATAGATTACAGCATGCTGAAAACAATGCTAACAATGACCATTAGCTATAGGCCGCCCTAGAATGGTACCAAAATAGTTTCCGCTAAAGCAATTTCCAAATAGATTGTTTTCAGGATTCAACAGTATAAACACATGCATTTCTGCCTCTCTAATGTTTTAGCCATTTTTGTACCTGCCCAGGGGCTCTCAAGTATGCTGTCTTTTTGCAAGATGTAGCAGACCTCAAGGAGGAGGGAGATCATTAAGTATAAAGGCTTTACCAAGCATATTAGTCAGGAATTAAATCAAACTGCTCAGTTCAAGCCTTTTGTGTTAGCTGCTGACTTCTCTGGGCTGGGTGAGGAGGGAGAACCTGTGCTACCATTCATTGCTGCAGTTTAACAAGGGTCACGTTGCAGCTCTTCTGTGCTTACTTTCACGGGCTGTGCAGGCTGGGCAGCTCTGTGTAGCTCCTCACTACATGGCCACTGAGTATTTCCTGTGCCGACCCTTCACCGGGAGAAAATTAATCTCCATTTTCTAATTTTTGAAAGACATCTATCTTCCTTCTTTGCATCACCAACCTCTGTAGAGTTATTTCCACCCCATAGGAAAGCCAGGCTTCGCGGTTCTGTCTCACAAAAGTTTCCCGTGGGTGACCTCCATGGGGAAACCTGTACCCTAAAGCCAGTGTGTGGCACTTAAGGATTGTTACAGCTGTTGGCTTCTGGGATGTGTGAGGGAAAAACACATTTGGACAGGCTGTGGGTGGCTGAGATTTCTGAATGTGAGCTCCAGCCACGCAGCAGAGCTGCCATGGAGCCCTGCAACAGAAGAAATCCTGCAGGAGGGTTTCTTTCCTTGCACTAAGACACAACACCTCCCCTCTACTCAGATCCCTGAGAGGGTGCCCAACGTAGTGGGAGGCAGAGGGCCCTGCGGGAAGGTGCCTCCCTTACCTTGAGGAAGGTCCTTTAGAGGTTTACACTAGACACTAGAGGGAAACATCTGTTCTCCCCACAGCCTGGTTTGAAGGCATTTCTTTGGGCTCAGCTGTGAAGTTTGTCGTGCTTTTCAGAGCACTTTCTCACAATAGTTTCAAGCAAACAAACAAACAAACAAAAGATTTAAACTGCAATGAGCAATGTTTTCTTTTCTAAGGCCTTCAAGGCTTGTTAAGAAAGGGTTGTCTGAACTAAATGCCGTTAGAAGCCCCAGTGTTCCTGGCAGATAAACACATGATAATTATCAGTGTTGTAACATTCCAAGAAATGTTTTTCAATATCTCCTTACAGATTCAAGACTATTTATTTTTAAATAGTTCTGTTTCTTAGCTAAATCCATTAGGATGTTGATCTTGCTTTCAGTAGTGTGCTTCTGGAGGAAAGTGGATATGAGCTTCCATTTTTACAGGGCCCTATAAATAGCTACTCTGCACACTTAAAATGGGAGACATCCATTAGTAAATCTTCATCCTCCATTCTTTTATTACTGAATAAGCACCATAGTCTCAGTCCCAGCGTTATTTTTTAGCTGCTCAGTGCTATCCTCACTCCAAAGGTAGAACAATGGCTTGACAACAGAGTCATTATGGGAAAACTAGTCACATTTTCAGATATTTTCAGGATTTTTTTTTCTCCATACTGTAAAAAGTCCTTTCTAAATATTCAAGTGTCAAGCCTTAGAAAGCAACTGAAAGACCTGCTGAAAGAAAAGTATTTACTCACTTTGCAGTCGCTTTCTCTAGAGTCGCAGGAGAGAATTTCTGAAAGCAAGGCCAGAACTTGTACTACTGTAGCCCCACCACCTTGAGAAGAGGGCAGAGCTAAATTAAACCACCTGGGAGAGCAGAGGGTTAGGACAACCACTTCCTCAACTCTTGCTGTAAGCACGACTGACCATAAATTGATATCCTTTCAAACATCCAACAACTGCCCCAAAGCAGTAACAGTTATGATGATGAGTGACAGCCCCCTAGACCTTTATTTTTCATTAATAACTGCCTTTTTTTTCCACAAGTTTGAGAAGAGTCCAGCTTCCCTGCCTCCCAAACACTGCAAATGGTGTTTTTGCCTGAATGCTGTGCATTGTATGCATGTGCATAGATGCTCATAGGCATGTGTTGAGACAGAGAGACAGCCCACTTTCCCTCTCTGCTTTCAGTGATGACCATTAACTGGTTTTGTTAATTATCACTTACAGATTGTTGTATGAGCAGGACAGATACCAAAGCAATGACTGCTTTGAGAGAGGCCAAGGCCACAGTTCCACCAGCAGTTTAGGATGACATATGCCAGCACTTCTTACAAAAGAGAAAATAGATGCTGCATAGACCTCTTTCTTGCCCTTATATCTCCAGAAGTGCTGTGCAATCACCTAAAGGTCCTGGTTAAAGCTAGCCAGAAACATAACTAGCTTTAGCCTACATTAATTTTCCACTCTGATTTACTATGTAGCCACACAAATGCTTACACCAGCATATGAGAAAAGGCAGCACAAAACCAGGACTGACTGTCTGGCAGAATTGGGTGTATAGGTTGTCTTCTTTGGTGTCAGCCTTGCCTCGTGTTTGCGTAAACTCATTGTTAAACTGGCATAATCAAGCAGCATTGTGGGGAGATGCCACCTGGAAGCTGGTACTCTGGCAGCCCCACATCTCCTGTAAAGGAATATCAGCAGATATCAGGCTTGGCTCTGCTCAGAAGCTGTGGGGAGCAGGAATATCAGGAGACATAGTTCAAACAGCCACGCTTTACCTTTTTGGCTGGGTGAGATGAAACCACCCTGTGACACAAGCACCTTTCTCTGTTTTAACGGTGCTGAGAGATCTTTCTGAACGGCAGAGAGAGATAGCATGTTATTCAGATGGGATGTGTCCGAATGAGGATCCTTTAAAAACTCCCATTTCATATTGCCTGTAAACACAAGCAGATGCTGCTGTCATTGATTACCCCCTTTTTTGGAGAAATATGAGGGCTGGAAGCTTCCAATAGAGAAAAATCAGCAAAGACCCCAGGGTAGTGAAGGCTCCAGGGGTGAAATACTGAAATACAGGTACAGACACAACTCCAGTGTGGTAATCCAAGACTGTCCTAGAAGAGCTTTCCTGCAGACAAGGAGGAATCTTATTATTGCATTTGGCTCTCTCTGGCACTTATAAGCAGAGTTTGGTGTTGAACAGCAAGGTATTTTTCATAGAAAAAAGCTATGTAAGTAACTGAAGGGAAAGAAGCAAGAAAAGATCTGGTCTGTCTTACTCTGTTATCTGGTAGGGATGTAGCGAGAAAGGCAGTGAGACTTCCTGGGATTTGGTTGACTGACAGAAGGAACATACTTTTGTTTTATTCATACAGTGCCTAACCCATCTTGGCTCTGTTGTATGATGACAGTCCTTAGGCAATCTTGAAATAATACTTTTAATCATATTTTTCTTGATTTACTCTCTCCTCAGGAATGAATTGTCCTCGAATGAAAGGTTGACAAATGTTTTCTTTTGTTGAAAACTAAAGTATTGTTTTACTTGTTTAATTTTTTTGGAAGCCTTTGAGCCTTGCAGCATTCTAAGTAAATAGGGCAAAAGCTGTTTTTACTCATTAAAGAGCAAACGAAACTGAATAATGTCTTTCTGCACTTCCTTTCTGTCTCCCAGTGAAAATGTATGTCCTAAATAATCAGGCTAGAATTAAAGTTTATGCAGCTCTCTCCATTCTCTAAGAGGGAATGGCCTTTTAACACTGCAGAATTTTCTAAAACTGTCCCTTTTTAATGGCTTGAGTATATATTCAGTACTTCTTCATATGGTTTTCTGCTTCTCAGGCATAATGCCCATGTTGCAAGCTATAAGCAACTCATGGTCATGTCAGTGTAGTGTAAGATGCCTCTTCTTCTTTGCTAGGAGAAGGAAGGAGATAGGGAGTTGATCTGGATGAATGGAGCAGAAGAGGGAGCCTGTTACCAGCCTCAGGAAAAAGATTCTCAGGAAAAAGGGCTGAGCAACCAAGTTTACAAAAAAAGATTAAGGAAAGTTATTAAATCTGATAGTTGAAAATTTCATGCACTGCTTTGGTAGAAAATGGCTACAGAGGGGGATATTTAGGTTAAAGAGAGAGGGGTGGTGGGTTCTTTAGATATTAAGCATCCCAATTTACTTTGACTCAAATAAACCTTCCTCCTTACCTTTTGGAAAGAGTACACACTGCTGTCATGAGAGCCATAAATATAAAAGGGCTGCATGGATATTTAATGGTTTATTATATTAACCTTACAAACCAATTACTGTGACTAACAGCAGATTGCAGCTGATATACAGCTTTTGCATGAATTAAAAATCAGAGAAATGCTGGAATGCAAGAAATCTACAAGGACAGGAATTCTGGGCTGAACAGTTAAGTTTTGAGCCACACTAACAATAGGCCTCATGCTGATCAGAAACGAGAAATAAGAAAATTACAAAAGGAAAGAAGAGCAAACTGATAAGCTGGGGAAGATTTTATTTATCACACTCTCAAGTTTTCATTTGTTTTTCTTGCTATTATGAACCTTTCATTAAAAAGCTAAATTTGAGTATTTAGTTCAAGCTGACTATTCAGTTCATAGCTACTGTTATCTAATATGTACAATGAAATCCTGGAAATTAAGGTCTTGAATCATCTACTGCTGGAGAATACTTTTCCACTCTCTCTGGCGCTATCAGTAGCACAGTCAAGCTCAGACAGAGGCATTAGGATGTAGATCCTTCACATCATGTGCCAGTGTCTCATTTTCCAGTTGGTGGTAACAGAAAAGGACAGCTTTTACACCTCTGTACTGCAATCCTGACCCATCATTTCCATGTCTTTTGTACGAACACCCGAAAACAGAAAATTTCAGAAATACTGAAGCAGTTTTTCTAAATACTGGCAAAATAAGCTGCTTTCACTTTCTGAAGTATTTTCGATATTTTTAAAATAAGTCAGATTTGACATCTCTGAATCTTCAATGTATTTTATATTTGGCCAAAACTGAGTGTTGATTTCTACCCCAAATCACAAGTGATTTTTGCTGCAAGTTGCTATGGTGCAAGTGTGATGTACCTGGCTGACTCTCATCTCCCACAGTGTTCGCAGACATGTGGTGGTGGTGTCCAGAAGCGAGATGCACTTTGTAAGCAGCGCCTGGCAGATGGAAGCTTGTTAGAGCTTCCAGAAACCTTCTGCTCCACGCCAAGGCCAGTTACCCAACAAGCCTGCAAAAATGAGGATTGTCCCAATGAGTGGCTTCTCTCTGACTGGACACAGGTACGTTACATGTATACATGAGCATTGTGGTGTTCTTGGCGATGAAGTTTCTTGGTCACTTAGGATAAAGGAGGCCAATGAACTCAGATTGCACAGAGTGGTATGACCAGTTTTGTCCCATAATCTGTACTTGGTCAGGGATGTGCCACTAGCTTAATGCTGCTCTTTGGAGATTGGAGGCATAGGTATGGTTTAACCATCCAGCCAAACCATTAAGACCTCCCTCCCTTCCTGCATAAACACAAGCCATGCTCAAAACAATAAATCCTTTCCTCTGTCCATGCCTATGCTTCTATTCATGCAAGGCATCATGAAGAGTATCTTTACTTCCCCAAATTAAATGTTTTTTTTTTCCCAAACCTGGCTGTTCTGATGTCGATAGTCTTTTTCTCTTGGGGCCACTCCAACCTTTCCCTGTGATGCAGAAAAGAGAAGGGAGGGATTCCTGTAGTCTGCTGTAGTCACATCATTACAGACACTGAGCCTCTTTCATTCTAGGACCCTGCTTTTGTGAAGTTAACTAGTTACTTCCTTCCTTCAATTTAGGGATGCCAAAACAAACTCACACTCTACTGAAGTCTCTTGCACTTCTCCAGGCTCCATTTTCTAGTCCCATATGACTTAAGAAAAATTCTCTTTATATTTAGGACAGTATAACTGAAAATATAATTTGACCTTTTAATGCCAGTAAGGATGAAAATTATTCCCTATTTTGCAATCTCTGACATTGCTCTCCCAGTTCTCTTTCATGGAAGGAGGCAGAAATTTTCTTAATAGTGAAAGAAACACCAGTCACCTCATGGAGCTGTCCTGCCTGTATCCTTCATATGTTGACCTATCTTGACATTTTACTTAAATAAGCGGATGTTGTCATAAAGTCTGCCAGGAGACACATAGCCATTCTGGCAGTGAAGATGGTAATTCTATTCCCACTCTGTCCTCCTTCACAACAAGTTGCTACATGGTTTATGTTGACATCCATACAACTCATATTTCTGCATACTGGCACTTACTAAAATCAAATCTGACTTCATAGAATCATAGAATCACAGAATGGTTTGGGTTGGAAGGGTCCTTACAGCCCATCTAGTTCCAACCCCCCTGCCATGGGCAGGGACACCTTCCACTAGACCAGGTTTCTCAAAGCCTCATCCAGCCTCGCCTTGAACACTTCCAGGGATGGGGCATCCACAACATCTCTGGGCAACCTGTTCCATTGCTTCACCATCCTCTCCGTGAAGAACTTCCTCCTGATATCTAATCTGAACCTCCCCACCTTCAATTTAAACTTCACTCTCTCCTCTCCATTTTACTTGAAGGCTGCCATGTTTTTGGTCTTCTTACCCTCACTGTGTTTCCTTCCCCTCACTTTACCTCCAACCCCCACTACCGCATGTGTGCACCTACGTGTTATGGAAGTGCATGTGTACCTTTGTGCTTCCAACTGTACAGCACTCAACCCACTTTCCAGCACCTTTACAGAGTGCTGTCTGGGTTCCAGTGCACTGCCCGTATTCTCTCTTTCTGTGATGCTGTATAGGTAAATATGAAATCAAATAGGTATGCTGAATTCCATCAAACAGTGCCCACTCGTGCATTGACCACCACAGCCCAGCATTAGAGAGTTCATACTCTTTTGTGCAAGCTGTGTGTGGTAACTGCCGGGCTGAGATAGCTCATTGGTGTCTGAAACATCCATGTATTACGTCTAACGGATCTGCAACAGTAAAAACCAAAGATCATGTTCAGGCTAGATTTTGGCAAAACAGGGTGTACCTGTGAAGTGCAACTCAACGTGGCCTGCTCTTGGCTATGAGCAGGGGTCTTTCCAGGCATCAGACACAGACAGAGAGAAACAAAGTGTGAAGAGAAGCTTTGTACTGAAGCCCAGTACTATTAAAACAAGGGACGCCATCTGAGAGAAGAAAGTGTGAAAGAGAGCATGGGAAGATTCAAAGCCTCGACAGAAAGTACCTGATTTTTCATCTCCCTACTGTGCCTGCACTGTTTGTAACTAAATGTCCAGGTGCTGCTCAGCCTTATCCCACTGTGATATTTTGAAAGCTCTAACTGATCTGTACCATGGTATGAATATGCAATGTAGATACGGGAGGTGAGGGGTGGTGTGTAACAAGGAGCACCCTTTCGCATTTAATACACCTTGTTCCTAATGTTTCTCAATCTCTTCCTAGTGTTCAGCGAGCTGCGGAGAGGGCACCCAGAGTCGAAATGCCATTTGCAGAAAGATACTGAAAAGCGGGGGTTCTGTCATCATCAATTCCTCACTGTGCCCACCTCTGCCGTTCTCATCGCTGATCAGGCCCTGTACACTAGGCGCCTGTGCAAGTAAGTAGAAAAGGTGCTTGGGAGTGCCCGGGGAAAGGGGGCTTGGATGTCCATCACTGAGAAATGCATGCTATCACCTGCTCCATAACCTTCTCTTGCACTAGTGTTACTTTGTCTAGGAGAGTGGCTCCTGCTCCTGAGTTTTTCTGTCTGTGAACAAGTGTGTTTTGTTTAGCTATGAGGCAGGTCTGTGGATGAGAGCTATAAATTTTACTGTTAAGCGCTGGGCCTGAGCCAGTGTGCTGGAAGGGGGAGCTAATAGTTTCTGGAAGAACTGGCTCAAAATTCTGACCCTAATCTAGATTTAAATTTCACAGCTGGAATGTAGAAGCTCAGAGATACAGCACAGCAGCCTGAGGGCAGCTGCAAATAAACTCTGCTAGAACAGCTGCAAAGAAAACGGTTGGTAAGGGATTTTGTTGAAGATTATTTAAGAACATATTATTTCATTATGTCACTCAGAACATTCTATGAACTGGGATTTCTAATGAACTGTATAACATAAGTTATATGTATTTTATATTGGTATTCCATGCATTTGTTCTTGCCCTTCACAACAGCAGTAGTCTCCCTGTATGACCTTCCCTCACTTGTAGTAAACCAACTGCACATGTCAAAGTTTAAAAGTCAGCCTATCAACTCTGAAACTGCTAAACATTGGGTATCTCAGGGGCAAAAGATCTGACATCCATAATCAAACCTGGGACCAAATGTTGCATGGTATTTACTAATTATATACCTATGCTGCTTTATCCAGTGCTTCATAACAAAGATCTCTGTCATAGAGGTCTGGAAACTGGAAGGACAAACTGAAATTGTGCACTTTAATAGTGGGTTTTGTGTTTTTAAGCCTAGTTCAGACTGTTTTGTCTTATTCAGCATTACTCCCTGAGGTAGCAGCACTTTCACTCTTCTTTACCACTGTGAGCTGCAAGTTCATGTTGCCTTTGAGGGTTTGGATGGTAAACATTTGTCTTTTCACTGTATATATTAAGCAACAATCTTCATTTAAATACTTCAGTAACAAGAACTACATCACCACTCAAGTTTTCTCCCTCCTGTAAGGCTTTTGTCCCTGGCGCTTTGGTTTCTGCATATACCCTGTGTGGGACTACTTTTGCATTCCTAAAGTGCATTAACTTGTTATTCCCTCTTATTTTGATTGCTCCAACTCAACGTTCCTGCATAGCTGTTTAGTGGGCCAAATGCTGCCAGCACAAAAGTAAACTGCTTGTTTTGTTTAATGGTGTCACATACTAATAGTATTAATAACATTTCAGGGCACATCAGGCCAGCTCATAAGCAAAGCCCCCATATCATGGCTGTAAAGAAAGTTTACATCCAGACAAGAAAGCAGAAGAAGTTACACTTTATTGTGGGTGGGTACGCCTACCTGCTGCCCAAAACCTCCGTTATTCTCCGATGCCCCACAAGGAGGTTCCGGAAATCAATGATTGCTTGGGAGAAGGATGACAAGAGGCTCGTCAGCTCAGCTCACATTACCATTGCACCCTACGGGTACATGAAAATCCATCGACTGAAGCCTTCAGACACCGGGACATACACTTGCACAGCAGGGCCAGCCCGGGAGCATTTTGTAATTAAACTGATTGGAAGCAACAAGAAGATCATTGCTGGGCAGCCAACTGGTATTAGGGAGGAAGAAGCCATCAGAAAGGCCAGGTTAAATGAAGCCTTGCAAATACAGGAGAAACACATCAATGGGATTCTCTTCAATGGGAGCAAGGCTGAAAAGCGAGGGCACCTTGGTGACCCCAGTAGCTGGTATGATGATATTGTCTCAAAGCTTCTACAGTACAGGGGCTGGCCAGGGGAAAATCTGGAGTCCTGGGAAACCCAGGAGTCCAGAGAGAGAAATGCATCCTCGGAGGAGGATCAGAGCCGGGAATATAGCCTGCCATTTACTATGGTCACAGAGCAGAAACGCTTGGATGATATCATAAGGAACTTGTCTCAACAGCCTGAGGAGCTTAAAGATGTCTACACTGAGCAGCTTGTTGTGCAACTGGCTCACGAGGTTTTCAAGAGCCACTTGGAGCACCAAGAATCTGTCCTCAAAGCAACAAGGCGAAGGGTAGATTCAACCTCGGTGGAGTACCCTCTCCACAGACTCGTCTCCGGGTTTACCAGCTCCCTAAGGATGTCATCTGCTGAAACATTTCTTCCCACCTCTGTAGACCTGGCAAATGGTGTGCGCAGACCTCATCAAAAGCCTGCTATCCTCCGAAAGATTTCAGCGGCTCAACAGCTTTCTGCGTCAGAGGTTGTTACCCACCTGGGACAGACAGTGGTCCTAGCCAGTGGCACACTGAGTGTGCTGCTTCACTGTGAAGCGGTGGGAAACCCAAAGCCCACCATCAGCTGGGCTAAGAATGGAGAGGAGGTGAAATATAATGATAGGTAAAGTATATTACTTAACTTTAAGAAAATAATTGATGTTTTGACTCTTCCGTTTCCATGTTTTACTGCCTGTCAGTCCCATGGACAAAACTGTATTTTGCTGTAGTCTGATTTCATAGCAGAAAGAAACACTAGGACATGTGAAGTGATAAACAGTGCACCATGACTCTTCGGTAAGGTCTGGGTGCTGGGTTAGTCTGGTGTGACAAACAGGAGCTTTACTTCTGTTTCAGTAACTAAAAAGTAGAGTTTGTAGAAGTAGGTAAGTGCCTAATGCAGTCAACAAAGCACTCCATTTCTGGAGGTTGCGAGCCTTAGGGTATTTTGCAGCTGAAGGTGGAGGTTTCTGCTATGATGATTGGTTTTGCGATATGAAGATTGATTACTATTACTACTGTTATCCTCTGTTGGAGATAAGAATTGTATTTCTCACAGTGCTCCAGCACGGTCTGTCTGATATATTGTGGTAGCTGAAGATGGAGGAAGTGAGGCTTCTGCCTTCCACACATGTATCTGTGTGTAAAACTGCCCCAGGATAAACCTCAGGGAGCGTTACTATCACCATTCCCCGTGTATGCTCTGATAGAGTCTCGAGACTGCAGAAGCATACTTTGTGGCTATTTGCAGCTATGCAGTCATCTCAACGCAATGATCTCTAAGTGTAAGTCTCCTCATCTGAGCTGGTGCATCCTCATCTGTTCAGGCTCCAGTGTGCTGGCCCCAAGTGTAGCCTGAGAACTTGAGTAACAAAACGCTTTTATCAATGTACCACGGAAATGATGCTTTTTTTCCTTCAGGCAGCACAGAAAGATACTCTTTTCAATGCTAGCTATATATATATATATCAACCATGTTGATAACATACATTTTTCTCATATGTATACTTGAGATTTTGGGTTCTGTTCTGTGAGAAAGTGGGATATAAGGGCAGGCAGGAGTGTAAGAGGCAGTTATATTAACCAACATGGTACAACAAAGTAGTCCAGGGATCTGCTAGCAGCTCTCTCTGCGCAAGATACTGACCTCAGTTAAGACATCTGAATTTAGTCTTAAGATCAGTTTGGGAAATCAGGTGAGGTGAAGTCAAAGCAAAAATTAATTTCCAGTGTGGTGCCTGTGGATCATCCAGTAAAGTCTTGATTTAGGTACAATTGCTTCTCCTTCAGAGTTATACAATTAGTTTATTAGCTCCTTTCTCACTTTAGCAAATGAGTGACTACAAAATCATTGTTTGCTCTAATGTACTGAAATTCCTGCTTCTTGTCTCTCTTTCTATGTCAGAAGGCTAGTAAGTATAATAGGTATCACACAAAAAATGGTAGCTTTTGCAGGGGGAGAGGACACTAAGAGCAAAAATGTGAAAATCACATGAACTTCTTAATTAGGACTTGGGCCATTATTAAAGTATTCCTTTATTTGGCCATATTCCTCTGAAAATATCTTCATGGCCCCTCAAAAAGTTTTGTATATACATTTTCATTGCCAGTGGTTATATCCTGTTGGAACTGTGCTATTAAGGGACTTCTTTTCCCCCCCCTCTACTTGAAATGACTGTGATTTCTGTGTTATGCTAGGTAAGTCCGCCTGTGGACACTACACTCATGAGAAAACTGCAAGGTAATCTCACACCATAAAGCAGTCATGGTGTAGCAACAGGCAGATTCACTTAGCTGACAATAAAACAATCATACAATTTCTGAAATTTTAGTTTGATTTTTTTTTTTTTTAAACTTTACAATGTCTTTCAATGTTGGGGATTTTTTAATGGGTTTGGTTTTTTTTTTCAGTTTGGCTGAAATAGCATTCCACGTTGTGCTGTATTTCTGGATTATCAGGCAACTATGTGTGCTTAAAATTTCTATAGGAAAGACTGAGGAAAGTACAGCTTATTTGCCAGTTAGTAGTGTTATTTGTTAGCCTCTTTTCTTTAAAGGTTGAGGCAGTTTTTAACTTCCTTGATGGACTTTGTTCTGTACACATCCATCCACTAGTTCCACCAGTTTGATGGGTGGGAGGGAAAATGAGCAGTGCTCTGGACTTCAGAGGTGCTCAGAATCTGTAACTTTGGAGTTAATGGAAGTTTAGAAGTCATGGTGCATATAAAATTGGGTTGTGGATGTTATGCTGGGTTCTTAACAGCAGTATTCTGGTTTTGGCTCAGAATGCTCTTGCTAGCTGCCAGTCAGCTGTGTAAATGTAAGCCACAGCTTAAGCAGTCTCACAGTGTACTGCTGTAAACTGCCAGTCCATCTGCATGTGGTGGTGTTTGAGGTGATGGTACGCTAGAGCTGTCGTTCAGCTCTGCAGCTTGTCTTCTTCACACTTTGCCAGCCACTGAATGGAGAAGAGAAACCATTTGTCCATTCCACCTCTGTCTTAATGGGAACAAGAAAATTAATGTAGATGGATCTTTCTGTACCAGTATCAAAGAAAGACACTTTTGGTGAAGAAGGTCAGAGAGTTGTACTGAAGTCCCTCCGTTCATGCTCTGCTGACTATAGTGATACTCGGTTGTAACTAGTTGTTAGAATGAGGGTTTCTGGGTTTAGGTTGGGTGATGCCTATCTGTATCATGTATTACTAAATACTGAGATAAAGGCACTCACTTCTATGCATTGTGCATAGGAGTGCACCTTGGATTTTGTCTGGCCCAGTGTTGGAGCAACAAATGGCTCTATTCCCATTGCTTCCTTCCATGAGCTGTGCAGTCCACCTAAAAGTATTCGGGACTCTTACTCCATAGCTCCACTTGTAAAAATTAATTTCTTTAGCTTTAATCTAGCTACTCTCACAAAAAGATATAACACAGGCCAAAAGAACTTGGTCTTCTGTTACTCAGTAGAATGAAAACATGAAACAAAAAGCTGCAGCAGTTGAAAACAGCTGTGTGGTTCCAGTAAAATTGTGTGGTTCTAGTAAAATATCCTTGACTTGAGTCTGCACATTCAGCCTGAGTACGTATTTAACATGAGTGTCCATACTCCCTCTTAAGGTTAAAGTGTCAGATTAACACCAGCATGGGTTTTGAGTGCAGTTTCAGAGCCTGCTAGTTTCTGTACCAAAGTCTGGAGACTTCTTTAAATGATGGAAAATGTTTTATTTCAAAGACAAATTCAGATTAACTTCCTTAGGAATCAGTTTTAAAAGTGAAAAATCTTTGAGGGATTTATGCATTGTTTGGTAAGCCTCCCAAGTATGCTGTAATTTTCATCACTGGGAACCAGTTTGTACTTGATAATTAAACCTTCCTAAACCAGGAATATATTTTATAAATGTACAAGAAGCAGAATGTAAACAGTAGGTGATATAGAGTTAGGTGTTTGTGAGGTGCTATCAGAACCAGTCACTGATTATAAACCTTGTAAAATACGTTTTTGTCTTGGAGACAATGGAGTATGGAGTAACTGAGATGAGACTGATTAGACATTAAGCTGCATTATTTTAAGTCCATAAATGTGATTCTGAAGCCATGCTGCTGACAGAAAGAATTGCTACAGCTGGTATTTTTTTCACCACTGACAAGCAACTCAATACCTAACAAAAATAGCAGTCTACGAGCAAATAGGGAATCCAGCCAAAATCATTCTATACAAAGAGGGATAATAAAAGATCTGCTTTCAAGAAAAGCAGCTATGCCAAATTGTGACATACAAATAACAGAAAGAATTATTGGAAAGAAGAGGACATTAGCTTTGTTTCTAGAGAAGGACATTAAAACTTGGTTTGAAAAAATAGGAAGATGGTGCTGCATTGGAGTTTATTTTTTGTAAAGGCAAGTACCTACCTGGCTTACTTCTATTTCTGAAAATATTTATGTTGGATCTTGAGGTGTCTTAAACTGACAAAGAGAGGTGTACATCAGCAGAGTTCATTAACAACAACCAAATTATTACCCCATTTGTATGTGTTTTACAAGGAGCAATATTAAGCAAGCTCTTCCCTCAACTTGAAGGTGATGGAAACATTTCTAAAAACATATTTTTTAGTGGCTTGTAGGTGTTAGTTTGATATAGGGCTGGCTGATCAGCCTACGTACTATATTTGCACACATTCAGGCAGAACATACACAACAATTTAGCTGTTACATGCTAGTATAATTTGAGATAAATTCTGAATCTCTAATGAATTCTGTGTAGAGATTGATCAGTCAGTGTTAAACTAAAACAATTCCATGTGAGATACTGATGCATGCTAACCTTAGTTTTGCAAGCAAAGAAATTTGTTAGTTGCTGGCAACGTTAGCAGTGGCTAACTAGAATTCTGCCCTGTTTATGCCTAAATGGTAAGAAAGCAATCCTTGAAAGCAGAAGTGGGGAGGGAATTCATTCAGCCATTGGGATTTTTTTTGTTGTGCAAGCAAAGATGCACTTTAAAAATGATAAATGCTTGTTTTGCAAATGTGCATTTTTCTAGGCACATGCAAAACTTGGTTGACCGAAAGCAGCTCTTTCCTTTTATTAATAATTATTATTACTGAAAAAAGGATCAAAAAAGAGTTTTAACTCCGTGTTTTTTCTTATAATAGATTTTGATGTGTGGCCCTAATCTGATTTGTTTTAGAGGTCTGCCACCCACAGTATTGTGCAAGATCAAGTATCTGTTTCTTTTTGGTCCATGAGACAACAGTTTTCACTGCAGGGGTGGGAGTGGAAAGAAGCTCATCAATGCCAGGATCTGTGAGCAGGCTTTTATTGCCTGTGTTTTACAGGCATATCCCTCCGGCGCCTTCACCCTTCAGTGTCAATCACAGCCTCAACGAACAGTTTACATACAACAGCTGCTGAAAGTTGCCTATGAGAAAAGTAACTTATCATTAGGTTTTATGAACTGTTTCGGCTAAAAAACCTAAGCAAAAGGAACAGTAATCATGAAATACACTCTGCTGAAAATAAGGGAATATAGGCATTGACTAGAGCCCAGGGACTGAGTTCTTGTTTAAACAGGTATCCATCAGGACCTGGTGGAGTTCTACTACTGTGAAAAGGAGCAGTTCGTAAGAGCTCTACGGCCATATTCATCCCATGGGCAGTACTCTACAATCACTGTAGGCTTTCTTACAGCAGAGGAAAGAAACAGGAGGCTCAGCCCAAGGAGGAGATGAGTATTCTCCTCTGTCTTCAATGACTATTAAGGCAGCAACAAGATTGCTGAGTTTGTACAAACTGCCCAGCAATCAAAGAAGTTGGAGCCTGTTACAGGCTTTGACACTGAGCCTGTGGTTCACTTCACTTCTTTCTGCTTAGCTTCAGCATGTTTCATGATTTTTTTTTTTTCCCTTGCAATAATTTGGCTTTTTCTTTACTATTGCTACTCCTGCTTTGCAGAACTGGGAGACAGGGAGGTTAGGCAACTCATCCGACATTATACGAGAAGGGACGCAACGGAGGAGGATGTTTCAAAAACCATGAGCAGATGTCCTAAGTACTCAGCCATCTTTAATACACAATTCAGCAGTAGAAGAACTGGGAATGAGACTAAAGTTTAATTTAGGTGCTCCAGTCTCAATGCAAGGCTTGAAATTTCTTAATAGATTTTTAAATATAACCTCAAGGCCTGAACTGAAAAAAAAAACCCTAAACCTGACAAAAAAATCCCAGTAAATGTATTAATGTTCACACAAACTAAGAGATTGCTACATCTTTCTTTCTGCTTTACTCCAGGATGCTACTTCAGCCTGATGACTCCTTGCAGATTCTAGCACCTGTGGAAGCTGATGTGGGTTTCTATGCTTGCAATGCATCCAATGCCCTGGGATCTGACTCTGTCTCCATTGCTGTCACTCTAGCAGGTAATAGTTCACCCTCTGATTGCAGGATGGTCCCTGCCACTCTTGTGACTTAGGACAGAAATCGTTTGTGGGGGAAGAAATGATTGTGGATGCAGGGTGAGCAAGGTGGATCAACAGTTACACTGGTGAAAACATAGGGTATGAAAACCCTCAGGGAAAACCCTGAGGTATAGTCCAACTTTCAAAGACAATTCCTGGAACTTGTGGATTTCTGCAAGAGATCAATGTTTTTTCTCACTTGCTACATCTGACATGTGCTCATCCTGGTTATTCATGGGCTATAGGGGCTGTGCAGTCCAAGCCTCCCAATTCTTATGCTTCATTTTAAACCTATCTCTGATCTTTTGAAGTCTAACAGCCTGATTGAAGGACTTAATCAGATGTATGTTAAGCAAGCCTAAAAAATACCAGAGCTGAAGAGCTAGTGCCTTGCAGGATCAAACCCTGTATCATATTCATCCACTGTTGCACAAGCATAGCTGACACTGTTTCAATTGCTGACAAATACAGGTTCATAAAAAATTAACTTACATTTCTGTAGCAATGGTAGAGTTCTAAAACAGACGAAATATCCTTTGTTAGTTTAGGTTTCAGTTCTGAAGAAAACTCACCCAAATAAAAGCCAAGAGAAACGGGATATAGTGCAGGAATCCAGCTTTTTCAGGGTTCATTGGTAGACAGTGTCAGCAGGGTCACAACCACACTGGTTGACAAGTAGAAGGACACAGCAGCAAATGTGAATGAGGAGCTGTTGAGTAAGATGAAGGGGGGACAGAAAAGACAGCTAAAGACTGTGACAAGGCAGAGAAGCCTTAGAGAGGGAGGATCCTACTTATCACAAAGGCAAAAGAAAACACATTAGGAATGCTAGAAACTTTACTGATTTTTTAGACCTCTCCATTTCTTGGCTCCAGAATGTGGAAGCATTTGGAGGCCTCTGATGTACAGGCAGTGACCATCAGATGTATAATTAAAGGAAGGAATCACTGTTGATGAGCTTGATTTTTTCACATCAAACAGAGAAGATTTCAGGTAAGAGGATCTTAAAGAAAATCTAAGAATGCAGCAATGCCCAGCAGTCAAGCTCTGATGATCAGTAACCAATTGGAAAGAGACCTTGTCTGTTCCTTAGAAGGCAAAGAACTGAAACCCCCAGGGTGGAAAAGGAAGATCTGCGTCACTGCTACATACTACATGCAGGCAAAACCAGAGTCTGATCATTTTACACTACTGCAGATAGTAATTTCTTTGCTAAATCACGGGCAGCTTGGCAGTGGTGCTTCTGTTAAGACAGTATAGTGTTTTATAAAGTGCATCTCCACAGTAAACCTCTTGTGTTGCACCAGCAAGAAGCTGAACATCAGGTTAAAAAATCATCAGTCCAAACTGCCATTCTGTCCATATTGCTCCAATGAGTTTCAAAGCCATAGTCTTAGTACAACACAGTTTGTGGAGACAATGCTATGTGAAGCTATAGAAAAATAAGCTGAGCGTTAGGTACACATGTGGCACAGAAAGACTATTAGCTTTTTGATTATAATTAGTTATCAAGGCTGTAGTTTAACCTTTTTAGATGAAATAACTTGCCTGCATCCCAGACTCAAGCTGAACTCTGCTGAGGAATTGGTATATATTTCCATCTTGCATCCAAGGCAATGAGCTGAACGTCTTATAAAATGAGGCCATAAATATCAAAATAAGATACTGAGCAGTTTTTGGAACAAAGCAAAACCTTTTTGGCATAATGGAAGGACTTTCTCAAAAACACTGGAAAGCTGAGACCATCTTTAGAAGGATCAGAGTGGGACCGAAAGTTTAGTTCATTGAAGAATTTCCTGATTAGTTTAACACACGCATGGAAAAAAGGCCGTGGAATATGCTTCCATTTTTCTCAATGGTTTGCTACTCATTTAGGGGTTGAACAACTAATAGATTTTTAATCTTTTGATGAGATTGTGGAAAAACAATCAGGGAAATAAAGGGCTGATGAACAGCTGTAGAATTTTTCTTTCTTTTCTTCAGGCTTTGCCACAAAGCATCAAAACTTTTGGAGATATTTCAGAAATAAAATGTAATATTTTATTTTGCTATTCATAGGCATTAAAAGCAGCAAAAGAAAAATTTTTTAAATTACAAAAAAAAAAAACTCCTCAAACTGATATGACGGGAATTCCAGATGAAAGGCATCTTTTAAAAACCCTGGAAATATGGCTATGTGGAGCAGTTTATGGTTAGGGCTGAATTAAAGTTTCAGGAGTCGCCATGAGCTCAGTGAAACCAAATTCTTTTTCAAACCTTCATCTTTTCTTCCTTGATCACCTCCAGATTAAGATACAAATTAAGCCAGTGGTAGACATTAGCCTAAAACTGCAGCTTCTGAAGGCATATGATGAACCTGATTTGTATCTGAACATTTATTTAAAAGGAGGAAAAAAAAATTATAGATTTTTGGATAAAGATGACTTTGAAAATACAACACTGAGTCAAAAATGCCCAAGGCCCATACTGTTTAAAGTGATATTGTCATGTTCTGCTCCTCCTGCCAACAGAGCATTTTTGCTGGGAGAGAAACAGTGAGGCCATCAGGACTAGGGCAGTGATGGTCCCCCCGTACTGAGCGCTGGTGAGGCCGCACGTCGAACACTGTGTTCAGTTTTGGGTCCCTCACTGCAAGACAGACATTGAGGTGCCGGA